GCACACAACCCACGACCAACCTTTCAAAACGCGGATGAAGGATCAGCTTGTGAGCTTGACTTTTTTGGTTTGTTCTCACGACAGTGCTGTCTTCTCAATTTCGGAACCGGAATTGAACGTGGGCTTGCACAGCATGAAGGCACGCATGCCGCCACCTGAGCTCAATCAGCTGTCAAGTCGTGATTTGGGCTCCTGTCGTTCTCATTTGCCAATTCAAGGCAAAAAATGGCTCTGGAAGCTGAGACATACCCATTCATTCACACGGAGGTGCCGCATTGGCCTATTTGATGTCCGTGACCATGTGCAGAGCACCTTTGCGATCATTGTGCAGGTTATCATCGATCCTTTCTACGATGTCCGGGCATGTGGGCCCGACAGTCCGCAGCACAGATTCTGCACAAATTCCGATGCAGACCCTCGCCTCTACACGAAGCCATGTTCTTGATTGACATTGAGCATGCAGGTACTTGGTATGACTCGCTCAAGGTGCTGCGCACCGTGAACGAGGATTGCCAGAAGATAGTAAGGTTTAACCTTTTTGACGGCGAAGGGGTGAGGAAAACCTACGACTTCTCGCTGACGAACGAGTTTTCGGAGGAGGTCCTGTAATCTGGAATGGTCGAGGACTCAGTTGAGAAGAGGCTGACAAGAATTTGAGACAACTAGCAGCTAGGTCACTTGAATGAGTACCTGCTTGCAATGAATGAAACTGCTTGTCCAGAACATCTGAATGGTCAACAGCAAATAACAAGTCCAGATCCCACCCGACTGCGAGTCACCTCGAGAAAAGGAGTCGAAACAGCTAGTCTTGGAAGAGGTCTGAAGCCCACTCAGAAAAATCAACAGAGTCTATTGTGTTGCGACGCTGCAAGCACGCTCCACAGACATGCGAGCTCACAGGAATGTGAAATGAAACGTGTTTTTGAGAAACGTCGAGAAACGGACTGAGGAAAAGTCTACAGAAGGACTAGGAAAAATTCAGTGCGGTGGAAATCGTGTCTGGGGTTTGGCCGTGCGCCTGTTGCGCCTTGTGCACTGTTGCAAATGCACTGTTCGAAGTTGGTTCCAACTGTACAAGCACGCAATGCAATGCAAACATGTGGTACATGACTGTCAAGACAACTGCATGCAAACTCGAACATTCCGGAAGTAGATGGCATGTTCACTCATCTGCAGGTGAGTAATGCAGCTGAACACGTCGTAAAGAATTCAAGCGAACACCAAACTCCAAGCAAGCATGACACAAAAAGTTCCAGTTTTGCGTTGCTTTAGGCAACTTTAAGGTCACCTATAAGGCGGCCCCTTCTATGCAGGCTACCAAAAACGAGATCATAATTTCGCAAACTTACCATAAATTCTAACACAGCTGAATATGACTGGGAGAACGTCGCAACAAATACAAGCGAAGCATACAAGCGAGTTTAAGACACCAGCCCAACAAATGATACAAGTATAGATGAAGACGTACGTGTACACCGGTATGAACAGGCGTCGCTGACACCGGATGACTCGTGATGTCACGACTACGGCTGCAGCACCAACAACAAACTGCAATTGACCAGACATCAATTACCAAAAACAACAGAATGAAACGTAGTCACCGCGCAGTGTCCTCGTGGTGACCTCGCCGTGACCAAAAACCGCAATGCAGAGTCCAGCACCGCCGCGCAAAAAGCAATGCTCACCGCCCACCATGACACGGCTCGTTTAGGTGGACACTTGCCTTTACATTTTATTCGCCAAATCCTCAACGAACAAGAAAAAGTACGTAGGGAGCAAGATTTGCAAAGAAGATCTAAGGAACAAGATTTAGGGCTTAAGGGGATGGTATTGAGGGATCCCGCTCTTTAGGATGCAGCGAAAAGGATTTTTGTTGAAGCCTACTCCTGTACATATCATCCTGTAGCAGTTGTATCATGCAGTTTTCCTTTGTTGCTTATAGGCCCGAACAGTAGCCTTGAGCATGTTTAACAAAAGTATGTACAGTTTCACAAGTAGGTGCCGTAGACCTTCTACATAGCACTAGTACATGACTTCAAGATGTTCTTTCTTCGCTGTGTGTAAAAAGCTGCGCGCCTTAGGTGAGCCATGGCAGGTGTAGGTTCAGGGGAACTAGACCTGCTGGGGCTTCACCTCAGCAGGTTATGAGCCCAACGCTTGGGCAGGGCTACGGCACCAATCCACCGCATCCATCTCCACCTCCCGGAGGGGATGGTTTGCAGCACTCAGGTTCAATGCCACCACGTGAATCAGGCCAGTCAGGTGCAGTGGGCCTTGAACCTGATACGGCTACGGGAGGGGCATTGGGAGGAGGCACAGGCCAACATGAATCATCGCGAGGTTCAGGGGAAGTGCCACCAATGTCGACCACCAGTGAGGGTGGTGAGAGCGCACACCAAATTGTGCCCGGCAACACACCGGGCGGGAGCCCAGGTCTGGAGACCAGCACTGGCATGCCAGGTACGGCGAGTGGTGATGTTGAGGGGTTCCTTACCCCACGCTCCCAGCAAGGACAGGGTTTGCCCACTATTGCAAAAATGGTTGAGGGTTTCCCTGGGGCTGGGCTCCAGCTCATGTCAAGGGTTGGGGATTTTTTCAGAGTTGCCCGCACTGAGGTCATGCAGGTCCCGGTGTGGCAGGACTCACACGCAACGCCACCACGAAGTGCTACCCGTTCATTGGGTAGCCCGGGGGGTGCACCAGGGCAGTTAGCTTTGGGAGATGGGAGTTTGGGTTCTAAAAAAAGTGGGTCGTCACCCCAAATGGGGCCTCAAGGAACGCCAACGTCCTTTGCACCATCGCACCCCGGAAGGGAGGGCCCGCTACTGAACGCTGACATGCTGCAGCGCATGCAGGCTTTACGGTAATGTACCCTACCCTAAAGGCCTCAATCGCGAACAGATTCATCTTGCCTCAGGAAGCAATTCAAGCCGAGGTTGCTAGGCAGCTGGCAGGGTTTGATCAAAGGGCTCTCAGGCCCAGGACCTTGAGATCCAGCGTTTGAGGAGGCAACTGCTATGAGGGAGCAGTTGGCTAGGGAGGCGGCAGCTTCAAGCAGTGCCCCGCAAGCCACAACATCACAAATGCAGGTCCCCGTTCCTCTCCAGGTGCCATCGTCGCAAGATGCTCAGGTCCACACCTCATCTGCGCATCAGGTGCAGGATGTTGCAGCGCCGGCGGTGAGAGCGCCCGCTCAAGCTGCAGCAGCTGCATCAGGGTTTTGCTCCAACTTCTGGTCAGGGTTGCAGGGTTCTCATAGGTTGCCCAGCAGCGCAACCCCACCCCTCCGAGGGGTCGGGCAGTTTTATGGCGCAGCACAGGTGAATTTGGCCTGTTCTGCCCCAAACCCCCCTTCTCAGGCCGAAAACCTGGGTCTGGGCCAGATCTGGCCTCAAGGCTCAGGAATGCTACACAGGTGCCCGCATCTCACCCGAGGGGTTGGACCATGCACAGGTGCCACAGGTGCAAGGACTCAGGTGCCCGCATCTCCACCCCGAGGGGTTGGGCCCGCTGCCTATGCACAGGTGCCACAGGTTTCAGGCGCAGGTACGCAGTGCAGCTCCAGGAGGAGCACCTGCAGCAAGTGCAACGCCGTATCCCATGATGGATGCCTTGTTTGCAGGAATGCAGCAGCTTCAAACCATGCAGGCGCAGGGCATGCGGGATAAGAGTGTTGTTAGCAACGGTTGTGACGCCGTCAAGCCAGGCGCTACTGCACTTCCCACGCTGAAAGCTCCTGATCCGATGAGTGGTTCGTTGGATTTTCAGGATTGGTTGGAGTTAGTTGCAGGGTTGATGGGTGATTTGTCCGATTCCTCGCATGATTGGTGGACCGCAGTGCTGCAGGTGAGCCGTGACGCATATGAAAGGTGGGTTAAGGCTACTCCGCTCGATCGCATCAGGGTAGAGGTTGATGAGCGCCCGGAGCTGGTGGAGGGAAAGTGGTCCAGGGTCAATGCGCGTGCGTGCACCATGATTTTAGCAGCCTTGGGTCAAGCGGTAAAAGCGGAAATGGTAGCTCGCAGGACCACTCAAATCATGTTTCGGCTTTACACGCTGTATCAGCCTGGAGGTTCCACGGAAAAGGCGTTGGTGTTGAATCACCTGCAAAATCCCAATGTTGTTCAGGATGTGGTGTCAGGTGTGTCCGCGCTGAGGGCATGGGGTAGGTGGCACAAGCGATGCATTGACTGCGGTATGGTAGCCCCAGATCCTACAGTTCTTGCCGGCGCCCTTACCAAAATGACCAACCATATCCTAAGCCAAAATCCGGACCCTATGTTCCGAACTCAGATGGTTCGCAGCATGTTGCACATCGAGACTCACCCTTCGGAAGATGCGGTTCAGGAGTATTGCAAGCACTTGTTAGCCGAGTTTGAAACCATGGCTGGAGCACAGATTGCCAAAAAAGGGTGGGTCAGGCAACAACGCCGCTCTGAAGGCCATTGACGCTACGGGGGGCAAGTCGGGGGGAAAAGGGGGTGAAACTAAGGGTGGGGGGGAGGGTAAGCCGTGCAAGTACTTCCTTACGCCTAAGGGGTGCAAGTTTGGTGCGAAACGCAAGGACCTGCCAGCGGCTGAAAGGTTTAAGAGGTGCCTAAATTGTGGCTCTGAGGAGCATCGCGTCAAAGATTGCAAGGCTGGAAAGGCCGAACCAAAGCACTGGAGCAGAAGCCGTCAGTCCAAGCAGCCTCCACCTCCACATCATCCTCCGCGCCACCCGTTGTCCAGGCCACGCCTGTTCTATCCTGAGCCCTCGGAGCCACCTTTCATTGGACACGCCCTTCTTGACTCAGGGGCCACTCACCCGATGCGGCAAGCCTCATCTGAGGAGGAATGGGAGGTCGCTGAGGAGGCGCAGGTGCGTTTAGCCGGCGGTCAAAGCACGTTCATGCGTTTGACCCGCGCAGGCACACTCCTCCTGCCTCCCGCAAGCGGAAAGGTGGTTCGGCTCAGGGTTCGTAATGGGTGTCCCGAGGTGATGGAGAGACGCCTTGACCATGATTTCCAAGTTGGAGGAGCACAAACTGCAACAGGTGGATGAGCTGAGGAAAAGGACGCAGGACGGAAAGGACAGGATTCGCGAGGCCCGAATCGCATTGGACAAGACTTGGTGGGACCATCTGGTCGAGTATGCCCGAGATGGTAACCTCACAGCAGGGGGAAATGGCTATGCACAGGCTCCGTTCTTCAGTGAGGTTCCGGAGCAAGCGTTGCGTGGCATTCTCCCGTCGGAAGATGTGGACTCATTTTGGCGAGCGCTGTCCGAGGCCTTTCCCAACCTCAACAGGAGGAGGAGGAAGGTGCTACATCGTTCCACCAAATGGGTTGTTCACTTGTTTGCAGGCTCAACCCCATAACCATAAAGAGCTCCTAAAGCTGCAGTCGGATGGAACAGTGGTGGTGGAGTTGGACATCGCGCGTTCCAGCGTCCACAATCTGTACTCTGAGCCACTTTGGAGGTTGTTGGTGAAAGCGGCGAGGGATGGGCGCATTGCAGCTGTGATTGGCGGCCCTCCTTGTCGTACCACGTCAGTTCTTCGGCACAAGCCCGGAGGTCCAAGGCCAGCGCGGTCCCCTGCTGAGCCGTATGGTCTGAGCGATCTTAGTGCTGCCGAGCGTGAGCTCGTAGACAATGACACGGGGCTGTTTGCACGGATGTTGTTCTTGCACGCAGCTGCGACAGCCGGGAGGCGTGTCCATCGTCAATCGGCGGAACAATCGTCGCAGGTGGCATTCTTGCTTGAGCAGCCTCAGCCAGTTGACCGCTATCTGCCTCCGGCCACACCTTGGTTCTATGGCAGGCCTACGCCTCAGAGGCCGGCCTGTTCGAGGTCGACTTTGACTAAGGTGCGTTGGGCCATGTGACCACACAGCCAACCACCGCTGCAGCCCCCAAGGGATTGTGGCGTGTGAAGGTTGTCAGCTCCTCTTCGCGCCGAGAATCAAGCGAAGAAGAAAGCTCAGAACAAGCCAGCGCTAGTGAATCGGCAAGTTCAGCTGACGGTCCGACGACTCTAAGCAAAATTTATTGCTTGTGCAACATCACTTGACTTATGTTTCAGCATCGATGCCGTAGAATGCTCAAGCCAAGGACTGCTGCTGCTGCAAACTTGCAATTGCAGCACTTAGCAAGTTTGGCTGCATCGGCGCACACGGCAGCTGATTCTCAGCATAGCAAGAATGGAAAGAATCGCAAGAGAATCAAGAAGGCGTTGTCCTCCAAAAAGCACAGTGGATGCAATTGTGGGCGCAGGTCATGATGTCGAAAATTCTACGCGAGAAAAATTGTCGATTTCGTGGCGTTTGAAGAACAAATTGTTTGGGCACGTAGTGCAATCCTCAGCCTGACAGGCGCTGGAGGAACGTTACCTTCTCCGTGCTGCTTGAGACCTGCCAGCTTTTTTGGTCTTTGTGCAAAACAGCTCAAGATGCTTTGCTTTGGTCTTTGCAAGCCACCTTTGTTGCTGATTCTGACGGCGTCGAGAGCGTGGATTCGGATGATGAGAAGTGGAGCCACCGTGTGACTTGGTTCATATCAGGCAGGGCAGCTCTTTTGACGATGGAGTCCAGTTCGTCTGTATATATTTGTTTAATGTAACTCAAGAATCAGAAACAATTGTCTGTCAGGTGTTCAAGTATGCCGACGCTCGTTTTTGAAGATGCTGGGTCTCAGCTGCGGCCGCTTGCAGCGGACGCGCAAGACCTATCAGGGCTTGGATCGACGAACTTTGCCTGGGCCGGGCCCTTCAGATTCATTTAAAAACATTTTAGCATCATAATAAATTATATTTTAAAAATAATTTAAACTAAAAGTGTCTAATTAAAATTTACATTAAATTTTAACTTATGTTTGAACCCAAGACACCATTGAGAGTGAGGCAACGGTCGGGCTCATCCTGCCCACGCTGCAGAGTCTTGCCACGTCTTTCTGCGTCAGCTCTACTACTCCATCTCCGAGACAATGCCAACTGGCATTTTCAACAAAGACCAAGGCCAGGACCTGTCGCGGGAGGATGCAAGGGATAGCTTGCTGCGTTCTTTGCTGGACTCCGTGCTCGAGGGTCCTACCGCCCATACAAGAATCTCGCCGAAGCACTTGGCAAAACGTGAACTACCGCCAGGCAATTGGGCCAACTTGTACCTTCTATACCTGGCTGCATGCAAGGCGCGCAAGACAGCTCCAGCTTCGAAGAGCACGTTTTACACAGCAGTCAAGGCCTGGAAATGTTGCCTGAGATTTCGAAAGAAATCTACACACAGCACGTGCTACACTTGCGATGTATTGCGTGCGAGAATGAAGCATGCAAAGTCGTTCTGGTCCCACGCCACAGCGACCGATGCCCTTCTTGGCCATTTGATGACTACATGGCGATGTAGACAACAATACTGGGCTGCCCGCGCAGCCAGCCGGACCCGACAGGACTTAATTACGTTGATCACTGATGGGTTTGACAAAAGCAAGCCAACACTGCCGCGTTGGGCACGTGGTCGAACGCCAAAACGGGCCACGTTTGAGAAATACAATCGCCCCCACCTCAACATCAGTGCAGTCTACGCCCATGGATACTGCTGCAATGTGTTTATGTCCGATGAGTACATGACAGTTGGAGGCAATTACTCGTGGGAGACACTCCTCGTGACTCTCAATGACTGCTTCAAGATCCTTCGCGCCGAAAACAAACCTATGCCACCAGCGTGTCTCGGCATCAATTAATAATTATTTTAAAATTAATCTTCATCATCATCATCATCATCATCATCATGTCATGCCATTTGGTTGTCAGTGGCCGTTTATCCCAGGTGCTGGATACAGTCAGACAATACGGTCAAAGAGATCAAGAACAGCTTGAGCGGAAGGATGGCGTGTGCACTGATATCTGCCGGTGTTTTTTCGGAAGTTGGTCACCACCACTTACCGAAAGGACACACTCATGAGGACATTGGCAGCTTGGCTGACTGGCGAATAGTTGATTGAATGTCACTCGTCACATCGTGAACTCGTTTCTGTGGTGATGCCTGGCTACCAGATGCAATTTTTGGATCGCTGACATCAATTTTGATGTCGGCAGACGATTCGGTACAAACGCCGAGTGATTTGAAGAGGCCAGCGAATCAACTTGTTCTTGTGACCGTGCCAGTCAGTCTAACTTGGCCTTTCATCTGTAGGTTGTTCGAGGAAAAGATGACCCCGGTGTTCGAACAACGAGGTGAGAAATTCAATGTGTATATTGTGGACACAGCTGCCTGCTCTGATTTCATGACGTGTCGTGCAATTTCCTATCTATGAAACTTCAAAGTCCTCAGGTTCGACAATGGGACAAGATTCTGCCTGAACCGGTCACACTGGGTGGCGCTTATAGGCCACGAGACGACACGGACGGCGAGCAAATTCCCCACAGCTTTCTGTTCAAGAAACGTGAAGGCCAGATTTTGCAGATTGGTGCAAGACCATAAATAATCCCCAAAAAAGACTTGATTGCACGCGCCAGGCATGACATCAGAGCAGAAGAACATGGCAGAGACCAGAAGATTTCGTGGCGAAGCCCCTTCAGACGACGACATTTTTGCATTTCTGAAATTAAACTTGTGCGACGATGACTTGTCACAACCTCCTCTCCTTGTATGGCCGGCCAGTTCTGCTTCAGCCAGTCGTGAGGCTTTGGCCACAGCTCGTGGGCAGCGAGGCTTCCGGAATGCCATCGACCATGAACGGGCAGAAGGGCTGCGCAGGCTTGCTGAGGCCCTGAGAAATTATCCTCAATACGAACGTGGCGCTGCTTATCTTGAACAAGTGGCCGGTGTCCGAAACCGACCCTTGGTTGGCTTACACGCCGTTGACTTCCTTGCTGGTGCGCGGCACCAGCGTCGGCAACTGATGCCACCTGGGGCAATGGCAGCCCAACCAGCGCGCCCTGAGGCGTACAGGTTACACGCAGTGTTTGGCCGCGGGAGGCGTTGAGAGTGTCGTTGCGACTGTCGGACCTCAAGCTGAGCTTGTGCCAGAAACAAAATGACTTGTATGCAACTTGTGTGAGTGAGTGCTGCTGTGTTGTGTGCAACTTGTGTGAGTGAGTGCTGCTGTGCGCGGATGTTCTTGGCAGGGCTCGGCTATGAAGTTCTTGAGGGGGACCACTATGTGCCTGGGCAAGAAAGGCACGAACGGCCGCGATTCAAAAACAAGGACCAGTGGAAGGAGATCCTTCTTGTCACTGCGGCGGCATCTGTGATGTATGCGGCAAGGGTGGTGGGCGATTTTGACAGAGCTGTGGGTAAGAATGCCACTGTAAAGGAGAAGGCCGATGATCAGTTGACATCGAGTCTTGAGTGTTGTTTGCAGCATGTTTCTCATCAAGTGGCTGTATCCCTGACAGAAAGCCTCGCAGCGGAGCGTTGAGCAGCACGAGGAACTAATGGACATCGTTCAGCTCTGGGTGTGGATGCGACCCAAAGTTTCTTGCACCTTGGACGGATCCACCATGGACAACTTAGACAAGATGTGGTGGCAGGGGCTGCTCGGCATAATGCTGCACGGTGGTTTGTTTTTCAACTCAGTCAAGTTCGCCTATAGCCCACGGACAAAAAAAAACTGCACCCGCCTGAGACGCAGCCCTCACCCATTTGCCTGCTCGATGGAATTCCAGGTTTTGTTCGCGAAAAAAAACCGTCACATGTTTCAGCTGTGCGAAAAAGACCGTCCCAATTTTCAGCCGGCCGTACGAAAAAAAACCGTCACAATTTTCAGCCCTACGAAAAAAAAACCCGTCACAATTGTCAGCCCTACGAAAATAAAACCGTCACAATTTTCAGCCCTACGAAAAAGAACCCGTCACAATTTTCAGCCCTGCGAAAAAAACCGATCACACTTAGGGCAGGGGCACGCCAGGCCGAAATGTGACTGGTTTTCCGGAAAACCAGTCGCAATTTCCAATGCAAAATGCAAACACTGATCATAATTTCAAAACGGGGACACCGGTCGAAATGTGATCGGTTTCAATTACGGATACAGAATCGTGATCGGTTTTCCGGAAAACCAGTCGCATTTTCAGGGGACCCCCCCCCAGCCCAAACGTGATCCCTTTTTGTAACATGGAACATAAAAACCGATCACACCATTTTCGACTACAAAAGAAAACCCGTCACGATTTCCAAGACGGATTTGCAAAAAAAAAGCCGTCACATTTCCCAAGACGGATTTGCAAACAAAAAAAAAGCCGTCACATTTCCCAAGACGGATTTGCAAAAAAAAAAAAAAAAAAAAAAAAAAAAGCCGTCACATTTCCCAAGACGGATTTGCAAAAAAACAAGTCACGATTCACAAGACGAATCTGCAAAAAAAAAGCATCCCATTCCCCAAGGTGGATTTGCAAAACCGTCACTTGCCTGATTCCGCCGCATTTAGTCGGGTCCCAGCCGGCAACGGGGGACTGTGGGGAAGTCAGGTAATGCTCGGGTCCCAGTAAGGGGGGGGGGGGGAGGGGGGGACTGCAGGGGGGAGGGGATTGGGGAGGGGACTGCCAGTGGGGGGCGGGGGGGATTACGGGGGAGTCTGGTTTTGTTCAGGGAACTCCAAAACCTGACTCCCCGCATTGGCTCGGGTGCCAGTAAAGGGACGGGGGGGGGGGGAGTCAGGTTTTTGAGGTTTCAGGCCCCAAAAACTCCAAAAACCTGAACTGAAATAAACTAACCTATGATAATAAAAATACGTATTTTTTGTCGTAGCTTGACCTGACTTTGACCTGCTTTTTGCTACTTCTTAGAGGCAAGTGCCGTGGTCAAAGACCTCGAAACCATAGAATGACATTCACGCTCCAAGCTGCTTTTGCCAGGAGGCTTGACGGTTGGACTCTGTTGGTTTGCTGAGTCTGAGTCTGAGGTTTAAGATGCAAATTCGATGTTTGTGGCGTGAGAGAGACAGACAAGACGTTATTGGATGCCAGGTAACTTGTTACCAAAGCTGCACGAAATCAAATTCATGCTTCGGGTGACAGTGAGAGAACAACCAGCCAGGCTGCTGGACAAGGACTTGCGGACAGTTTGCCTTGCAGCCCCTGACACTGTGGATTGGAACCGCGTGAATTTTGTTATGGAGGTGGGCGGGGGAGAGCCTGCCTTAGAAAATTCGCCGCCCGGCTCTAAGCCATGTTTTTTGGAAGGCGTGTGGGCGTACCCAATCGGACTTCTTGGCTGCCGCGCAGAACAAGCGCAAGGACGCTCACGAGGCTGCGGTGAAATCAGCCTGGCAAGCCTTCAAGGCAGACCTGACTGCGGATTGCCTTCTTTTCGATGCTATGCTGCTTCGACACACGCGGGAATCGGACGCGAAAAGAGAAGCACTCGTCGACAAGTTGCACACCATGTCCCTTGCTTAGTGTGTTCCTGCAGCTGGTTGTTCATGAACACATTTCGTCGAATCTTGCTAGAAGCAACTGTTGCAGGCACACAGAGTCTTGGAAGGTTCTCGACAAGCATATGCAAGATTTTTTCAAGATATGGGAGGTCAAGACGCAGGAGCTTGGCGACCAGACGGTCCTTCCGGACCTGATGCCATGGTTGGACGCTGCGATGGACAAGGTGACATACACCCGAATGCCAACCGAGGAAGGCTTCATCATTTACTTCAACCTGACGACGTGCGGGGTACTCTCCGCTGCGAAGCAGAACTTCCTCTACCAGTTTGTGACAACGTTCCTTGCAGTGCAGCGTGTCAATGGGATTGCTATCGTCGTACTTCCTAACAAAGCTGGCAGTCCGAAATCGTCGGGGCCTCACTGCTTTGAATTGACTGAATGGACGCCAGTTCCAGTCCTTTGCATTTTTTCTGACGAGAGTGACGCGAGTTTTCAAATTGAGTCTCAGACTGAAATATGCACTGAGGAAGGATGAGGACGAGGATGATGTCAAAGATGCTGATGATTTCAAAGATGAAGACGATGACACCAAGGCCGAGGATGAAGATAATGGCGGTGATGGTGAAGGGGCAGGGGAAGAAGCAGGATCGGACGATGTCATGCTGCTGCAAGAGCTCAGACACAACATCGAAGCAACTTTCCGCCAGCCTGTTCGCAAGCTGAAAGTTAAGAACTTGGTCATTGCCTTCGACCCTGAGACTGTATTTGGGAAGCGCGAGCAGTTCCTACCAGCGCTCATGATCACTGCTGACGCTTGCTCGCAACGACGACAAGTTTGAAGCTTTCTTTCGAGAATTCGCACGCGTGAAGAGTTTGTTCTGTTTCGCATGTTTCGCTGCAGGCCACTGACAAGAACAATTTTCACTCGAGCACCCTGTGGAAGCGGGCAATGTTGAGCAATGTGGCAACGCTACGCCAAGCCGATATGTTTCGTGTTCCACAAGGCCCAAAGAGGATGCGTATCAGCACGCACCTGACAGATGCCCAAGAACTGAAGCAAGCAACCTGTTTGCAAATAATTGTCATCAGCAGCATCAGAGTGTGCAATTTGTCGCGCCTAGCTCTGCTGTGTGCTTGAGTGGTGCAAGTGTGCACACGCATGTCACGATGTCCGTCCTGCGGGCTAGCCGCGGATGCTTGACAATGAATTGCATTGACATGTTTGCCGCTGCTTTGTTTTGTGGCCCGTGAGGTGTTGCAACTTTTTGGTGCTCGTGTGCTGTTATGCCATGGCTGGCTTTCCTCCAGGCGCCCCATACATGGCGGGGCTGGGTGCCATGCCGACAGCGGCGATGACACCGCAGCAGCTCATTGCTGCAGCCCAGCAGCTGCCGCAACAGCAGCAGCATTTGACTGCGCAGCTACAACAGTTTCAACGTGCCTCTCCGAGGCCCAACGCAGGAATGGCGGGCCAGCGTGTGGTGGATGCGGAGTGGTGGACGGCATGTTCGGCCCCGGGTTTGTCGGCTTGCACATGCCGCCAGGGCCGCCAACGCCGGAGGCTCCAGGACCGTCGGCAGCACCTGCCGCAGGACCGGCGCCAGGACTGGCAGCAGGCCAGTAGCCGGGTCAGCAGCCGGGCCATCAGCAGGGCCAGCAGCAGGGCCAGCAGGAGGGCCAGCAGGAGGCCCAGCAGGAGGGCCAGATGAGGTGCTCCGCGCTGAAGACCCAAGGATGGAAGCAGGAAGCTTGAAAAGACTAGGAACCGTCCCTTTCAGCAACAACACCAGCCTCGAGATCTATGGCAGGTTCGTCCGCCCCAAGAAGGACATAATTGAACTGACTTAGAGACGTGCAATCATGTTTTTTGCTAATTGTTTTTAGTCGTCTAATTGACTGTGTTTTGCAGGAGCCTAGCCATGACCGTGACCGTGGCACTGGCAGCTCTGGAAGCGGAAATGGGCCAGGCGGAGGACCAGGACACCTGCCTCCAGGCGGCGGAGCCCCGCCAGGCGGACCCCCACCGCCTTCGCCAAGCGGACCTCCACCGCCTTCGCCAAGAGGACCCCCACCGCCAGCGCCGATTCACCCACCACCGCCTCCAGGCTCGGAAGCGCTGCCGAGCCAGCGGCGGCACCTGCTGCAGGGGCGGTGGGGGACCGACGGGCAGAGGACGCGGTGAATGTGGAAGATGACCCGCCGCCAAGAGCGGAGCTGCGAGGCCGCGGGTCAGCAGCGGTGGCGAACAACTCCGTGATGGCGAACGCGAAGCCCAAGCCGATGCCGCGAAGGCAGACAGGTTTGAAGACATTGCATGCCCTGTAAGTCAAGTCAACTCTGAGTCTGAGTCTCTTTGAAATTTGAGAACATGCCTCCCCCTTAGGCCCAGATCCGATGAGAGCAGCGGCGTCGACGACTCAGCCGCCGCACCCGCCGCACCTGCCCGTGTTTCGCGACGAGCACGAGAAGCAGAAGAGTGGGGTGCTTCCAGGGCAAGAGGTGGCCAGAAGCATCACCGTCGGCACTGAACAGAGTTCGCTCAGAGGAAAAGACCCTGAGTGCTTGCTTCTCTGTCTTGCATTGCGTGTTGCTGGGATAAGACGCTGTAAGTCTGTGCTTGAGTGGTGTGTGTGCGTGAGAGAGAGAGAGAGAGAGAGAGAGAGAGAGAGAGAGAGAGAGAGAGAGAGAGAGAGAGAGAGAGAGAGAGAGAGAGAGAGAGAGAGAGAGAGAAAGTGTGTGAATGGTCATTTTGCATCTTGCCTCAGTCTCAGTCTACTGACAAAACCCCCGAGGTAGCTGGTGGAACGGACCTGATCCAAAAGCTCGAGGCAAATATCCTGGCGAACACCAGCATTGAGAGGCCGGTGTGGATCGATGCTCATGGCTACGATGGCTTCCCTGCTTTCAGCTGCTTGGCTGGCACTGGGCAGAGATCGATATCGAGCTTCTGCTGCACGATATGCCACAAGATGAAGAAAAGCCACGAGTACCTCAACCAGTTGATTATGGATCACGCTTATGAGCAGGCTCGTCTTGGGCATCTGCAATTGGACGGGTTCCCAAGCTTCGAGCCGGTGGTACAGGAGCTGCAGCAGCACAATGATGATCAGTCGCAAAACAACGGCGATGAGTCATACAAAGTGACCAGCCCGATCGACGGAGCCTTATCGAAATTCATCGAGACTTTTCTGCCACAGTTCTTCCAGAAACTGAGATGAGTCCTCAACTTCCCTGATGACCTGGTGGTTGGTCTCCTGCGTCAGTTGGGACAGGTCCTTCAGGGAAAGGAATGCTGGACGAAAGTCGGTGGACCAGCCTGCCGGAAGGTCCAAATGCCCCACAAGATCAAAACCCTGTGCCAGGTCGTCTGCCACTGCCTTGTCGGCGTAGTGGGACGCTTCTAGCATCTCTTTGAAGAGCAGTATTCTCTTGTTACGGAGGCTGCTGCGGATGTGCTCGGGCAGCTTGGCTTTGAAGTCGTTTTCGGCTAGCTGCAGCTCCTGGGCTCGCTGGAGCCATCTTCGTGACTGCGCAGCTCGAGTCTCAATCACCTTGGCTGCGGGCTGTTTAGAGCACGCCAAAATTGCCTTCCTGAGGGCGGGTGGCACCCCGAGACACAGGTGTCGGGGGTGGCCGGCCAGTCGGGCTTTCGCCACAAATTCCTGTGGGTTCCACGGGACCTCCACCAGCACGTCCGTCGCAGAAGACAGTAGGGGCGTCACTCTCAACGCCCTGGCCCCTGGCGCCTTGAAACCCGGGATCTTGTCCGGTCCCAACCACTGTGTAGTCTGGAGAGTGCTACGGAGTTGGCCGGGCACTGTCCATCTGATTCGTCGGCAAAATTCGGGGATGACCTGAAAAGACGCAGGTTTTTTGGTCTTTGCCTGTGTCGTTACCACCCTGGCTCCTGAGGAGTTTGCGGGATCTCCCTCCAAGAGATGCAGACCATCCCGACAACCCTTCTGTGTCAGATGCTGCAACAGCAGGGAAACAAAGCGCTTACAAAACTGGTGTGGATACGCGGTCTCAAGCTTTGTTGCGAGAACTCCCTCTTGCACTTCCCAGGGCAGGTGCTTGTGGGATCCATCACACGTGACAGCCAGGCCTGTGATGAGATCGTTGTTGCACAGCAAGGCCGTCCGCTTTAATCTCGAACCTCCCATCATGCAAAAGTCGCACTGGACCACGATCGCCTGTTCACTCCTCAGGATGTGTTCAATGGCGCTGCAATGCCAGAAGAAACTGCGATAGGGGTTCTCTATGATTACCACAATGCCATTTTCGCAGCAAAAGTCCCAGATTCGGGCCGTGAGCCGGTAAAGCTCGTTAGCCTTTGCCACCCTTTCTGCATCACTTTGGCCAAGGCCTGGAAGCCCTTCCGGGCACTCCACTGACCGCAAAGGATGCGGCTCGTCCTCCCACGGAAGCGGGATTTCCCTGGCCCTGCTGGATGTGCCGCAGGGCGGCGCCAGCCATACGGCGGCCAGTCCTGGGGAACCCAGCCATTTCCACAGCAGACCTTGGTGCGACAGCAGGAGCAAGTCCAGCTGTATTATTTTGCCCTTGCGCCTCGGCATGCGGACGTTGTCTACTCCGACCGACCGCTTGAGGCCGGCTGAAGCAGCCGCCGAGGTAATCCCGGCTGACCCCGCGAAAATCTCCAAAACCCAACGCTCCTGTATGGTCTGGGGCGCAGTACATTGCACCTGTCCAGACCTCTGCGCGCCAGGATGACTCGCCTGAGGTGAAAATGCGGAAGCCTCAGCGGGAGGCTTGGAAAACTGTGGGATTGGCTCAGCCACCCGCTGGAGCGGGGGCTGATTCTCTTGCCCTTTCGCAACAGCAGCAGGACGCGACTCCTTGCAGCTCTCTTTGGGCCTGTCCGCCTCAGAAGCGGGAAAATTGTCCTGTTCACAAAATTGGGCAGAACTATCTCCACCCTCCCCCATGGCTGTTTCCGCTCTTTCCGCGCACGCTTGTGCGCGACGCGCGGTCGGAGCAGCGCGGGACGCCTGGTCCAGCGCAGAAGCGCTGTCATTCGACGTCCCTTGCAACGGGGCGTTCTTTCAGGCTGCCTGGCCTGAGTGCTTGTGCTCAGAAAAGGGATGCTTCCGGAAGCAACCTGGGTGACAACACACATGTCTGCCACGTGCGCATCTGCCCCCCAATGGGGCGTCCTTGCACTGTTAAAAGTTTAAAGGCTACTCTTAACCTTTCCTAGAACACAAGTTCTCCTCGCACTTTTCTCTACTCGCGGCGCTCCACGAGGGGCGGTGCTTGAGCCTATATACAGTCGGGCATGAAAAGTGAAATGTTTGTTACGCCCTCTTTGAAACTCGTTGAGTGAAACGATTTTCAAACACCTTCTCACTTTTCTCTCATGCTCCGTTGAGCCCATCCTTCCTTTTTCTCATACCCCTTCGGGTAAAGCTTCTTCTTTCTTCTTTGGCTCCTGGAGCAAATTGAAACACTTCTGTGCAACTGCAACTCTACGTGCACCAAATCGATTCTACTGCTTGCACTCACTTTTTCTCGCCAGTGTCGAGCTCGTCGTAGTCCAGCAGTAACTCAGCATTTCGTTTCTTTGAAACTTGTGCTTTCGTTCGTGGTGCTCCGTGGCTTGCAACAAAACCATCATACCAATTCTTCGTATCTTCTTTTGAAACACGAGACCACTGCACGCCTTTCTCACAAGCGGCTTTTGCATTGTCTCTTTGCTTTTCAAAGCACCTTCCATTTTCGCCATTGGCTTGGTGAAACGAATTGTTTGTGAAACTGATTTCTACCTTTCGGTCTTCGCAAAATGCGGTACTTGGGCCATTGCCCTCAGAATCCTGGGCTTTCGCCCTCATCCTTCTCAGATCTTCAGCGCTTACAGATCCTCTTTGTCGATCTCGGCTGTCGGCTCCTTGGCCTCGCTTCCTTTGGCCTTTTTCCTTTCTTCCTTCTTTGCCTTCTTCTCTTCTTTCTTTGCCTTCTTTCTCTCTTCACGTTCCTTTCTCCTTTCTTCTCTCTTGATCTTCTTGATGTTCTCCTTTGCTTGCTTCTTCTTCGCTTCTTCATCGCTTGTCTGGACCTCTTCGACGGTTGGTCCTGGCGTTTCTGGCTCCTTTCTCTTCTTGAGCGTCTCCAACCCCCATTGGGGATTCGGTGGCAATCCTTTTGGCTCGGCAGGTCTCTCGCTCATATCCACCATTTTCTGGACTTCATCATTGACTTCCTTTGCTCCTGCCTTTTCCTTCTCGGCTTTGACTTTGGCCTCAACTTCTTGGCCTTGCTTCTGGTACCAGCACCTTTGGTGGGTGTGGCTTCCCCACCCCGTATGCTCAGACGGGTTCTTCGTTGTGTACCAGCACCACTTGCACCACAAACCACGCTTCTCCTTTTCTCGCCAATCGAGACTTGGGACTTTTCCCGTGATCTCCTTTGCCAAATCCAGCATCTCTTGGCACTTGATCGCACGATGCGATCCCTTACAGAAAAAGCATCCGGGCTGGCGCGTTCCCGTCTCCTTTTCGCTTCGGGTGCTCCTTTCACTTGACTTCAAAAGCCACCTTGGGTTGACCTTGCTCAGGTCTTCTTCTCTCTTTTTCTCCTTTCCTTCACCTTCATCCTTCTTCTCTTCGATGGCATCATCAACTTGCACAACTTCTGCCATCTCCTTGCGCATCTTCAACGGCTTTGGCATTGCCTTTGTCTTCACTTGCCTTTCCGAGCCTGCAGCCATTGACTCTGCCTCGCTGGCTCCTTCGGCCAATTTCCTTTTGCGCATTCGCTCGAGTAAGGACACTCTCGGTCTTTCTTCGAAAATCCGACCGTAGTCTGGCGATGCTTCCACCAAACACTTCATCACTTCTTCACTTGTCTCTACAAGCATCCTTACCACGCTCAGCATTCTTCTCGAGTGCTTGAACTCATTGTACTCCGCCAAATGTCCTTCAGCTTCCTTCTTCTTCTGCATCGTGGACTTAAGGCTTTTGCACTCTTCCATCATCTTCTCAACCTCGCGGTACTTTTCGCCATATGCCCGTTCGGCATCTTCCGCTTCCTTTTCTGCATTGGCGACATCTTCGTACATCAACTCGTCCGAGTCCTTCTCATCTTCTTCTTGCTCCTTCAGGGCTGCCAACCATTGTTGCACCCTTGTTCCATATCCCGTTGGAATCTTCACGACTGGACTCTCCATTGTCTCTTTGAACTCTTGGAACATTCTCTGCGTCGCTTCGGACCTTAGGGCGTCGCCATCGATCCCTGTCTCTTCGAGCATCTTTGCTCCCTTTTCGTCCAGCTGCATTGAGCTTAAGATCGTTGGCCATAGGCCTTCCTTTGCCAGGAGGACGTATCTTTCATCGTCATCGGCTTTTTCGGCTTCTTCCTCCTTTTTTCCTTCCTTCTCAGGCGCTTCTTCCTGGTCCTTGACTTCTTCCTGGTCCTTGACTTCTTCCTGGTCCTTGACTTCTTCCTGGTCCTTGACTTCTTCCTGGTCCTTGACTTCTTCCTGGTTCTTGACTTCTTCCTGGTTCTTGACTTCTTCCTGGTTCTTGACTTTTTCCTGGTCCTTGTCTTCTTTCTGGTCCTTTTCTTCTTTCTTCTCCTTTTTCTCGTCGCTCGAACTTGACTCGCTTGAAGATGACTCGCTTGCAGAATCACTGCACGACGAATCCTTCTCCTTCTTCTTTTCTTTCTTCTCTTTCTTCTCCTCCTTCAGTTCTTCTTTGGCCTCTTCCTTTGGCTCTTCAGCCTGTTCCTCTTCTTTTGGAGCATTCTCCAGTAACTTCTTCCTGCGCTCCTCGGCTCCTGTCTTCATCTCCTTCAGCTCTTCCACTTTTTCTTCCATCATTTGTTCGTGGGTCTTCTCTTCTTCCATCGTTCTCCTTCCTTTCTTCTTTTCCTCTTTTCCTACTCGTTTGAGCAAGAAAACGGCTGCGGGATAAACTGTGCAACAGACCATGCACGTCACACAATCATGATACACATGACTATTCCCGGTCCTTGGTCTTCTTCCTTGGCTTTCTTGGCTTCTCCCATTCCTATCAACACAGCCATCGTTACAGCTTGTATGATCTTCGCCAATCGCTCATCGTTCATTCGTCGGCCATTGCCGCTTCGGCCATTGCCGTTCATTCTTCGCACTTGTACATTCCTTTCAACTTCTTCTTGGTCCACAAACTCTCCTACATATCCGAGGCTTGTCATATACTTTCGGATTTTGTCTTTGCTTAGACTCTTTTTTTTTCCCAGATCAGCTGGGTTGTCCTTGCCTTTGATCGCTTTGATGATCAACCTCGGGATACTCTGGATCCATAACAGATCAACGTCGAGATGACGGGCTTTCCCCAGTCCTTTCCGAGCAATCAGTTGTCTTGAACTGCTCGAATCTGAATACATCACCATCTTTGGTTCTTTTCCGAGGATTCTCGTCAACAATGCTTTCAAGAACACTCCTTCAGAAAGTATTGACGTTGCGGCGATAGTCTCCGCTTCGCATGAGCTGAGAGCTATGCTCTTCTGCCGCTTGCTCTGAAAATGAATCAGATTTCCATTCAGCATGATCGCTCCACACGACACGCTTTGCCTTGACTCTCTGTCGCCTGCCCAATCAGAATCCGTCACTATTTCCAACAGTGACTCTTGCTCATAGACATTTCTCTCGACTTCTTCATCTTTTCTCTCATTTCGCTCTTCGATGAAACTTCTTCCTGGGTAGCTCTTCTTGTGTATCAACGACACGTCGGGTGTACCCTTCAGATACTTCGCAGCGTGCCTCAGCAGTTCCATGTCTGCTTCCACCGGCGCTGCTAACTTCGTTGAAAGTTTCTTCAGCACGTACATCAAATCGGGCCGTTCTGGCGCTAAGTACAACAGTATACCTACACCTTTCCTGTACGTGTGATGATCCGCTTCCGACAGCGGGTCCATTCCTCCTTTCTTCGCTTGCATTGCCCTTCCATTGTCCGCTGGGCATGGCAGTTTCTTTGGATACGAATTTTCCAACTCCAACACTTCGATCAATCCTTCGATGTACTTGGAATTCATCGTGATCTCAACGTCTCCATCGTTCACTGCGCTGAATCCTCTGTTCAGAAAACTCATTGAACCTTCTTGTTCTCGCAACGGTCCTTCGACCTTGATCTTCAACTTCTTCTTTCTCAAGAACTCGATCAATCCTTGGAACTCTTTCTCTGTCGCGTACAGTTCCATGTCATCCACGTGCGATAACACAACCATTCCAGCTTTTCCTTTTTCTTGTCTCCTGTAAAACAAAGCTGGTAGTCCTTCGTCGGACTTGAGTCCATACTCTTCGAGGTATCCTTTCAGCTTGTTGAACCATGCGCTTGATCCCATCCGTTGTCCTGGCAACGTGAATCCGAGTTCATAGTACTTTCCATCGACTTCGACGACTGTTGGTTCTTCTTGCTCCACCATCAAGTAGGCATCTCCTACATCGATACTTCCAAGGATGTGGTCATTCGACGACACAAACATTGCTGAGAGTAGCTTCACTGTGCTCGCAACTCCCGTTGGGGAAAATAACGATGCGATGTCCGTTGACCCCAACCATTTGAACTCACGGGCAACTAACCGGCCACGCCGTTGCCATTCACTGTCTCGATGCCTCCAATCGTAGACAACTTTGGTTGAAAGGTACTTGTAGTTGCTCACACTTGTGCCTTCAGGCAGCTCTTTCAAGACTTTCATCTCTGTGAGTCGGCTTATCTCGTGCTCTCTTGACACAATGTCGACCTTCGTCAGCTCATCTTCGTCCAACTTCGGAGGTCCATCTTCGAACTTGTTTGACCACCTTGGCATGCTTTCCTCGAACTCTTCGTCTTCTCCGAGCTCTGAACTTCTTTCCTCTTCAGGCTCTTCAAACTCGACTTCGAGTCCGTCAAACTCTTCCAACTCTACCTCTTCGTCGTCATGGTACTTCGGCAAATCCTTCCTGAGAAATGACGCAACTTCTTGCACACTTCTTGTGGCCATTATCCTTCTCACCGTTCCTGAGGGTTCTCCTCTTTGGATCTTCTCAGGTCTTTCTTCAACTTGTCCGCTTCCTTCGTCGACTCTCGGCCTTGTGGCTTCAGGTTCTTCTGCGGCTGCTCCTTCGAGCTCTCTTTTGCTCGTGCCTTCCGGCTCTTCTTCCTCGGCTTCACCCGAGGTCATACTTGCTTCATCTCTTTTCCTTGCCGCTGCTCCTTTCCTGCTACTTGCTTCAGAACTTCTTTGGCCTTCGCCGGGATCTTCGTCATTGTCATCATCATCACTTGTCGGTGGATCAGACGCCATTGCATCACTTGGTCTTTCCGATGCTGTTGGGCTATACTGTGGTGTCTCCAGACCAACTGCTGGAGTTCTCGGGACTTGCACGGGCGGTCCTTCGATCGGCGCCACTTCAATTCCACTTGATGGCGGCAGCCTCTTCGGCTGCTTCGACCGTCCTGTCAACTGCTCTTGACTATAGTTCCACGGCGTTCCGCATGCATTTGCTAATGTTTCCACTTCAAACGTTGGCGAACATTGTCTCATTGTCCGACTTTTGATGATTCCACTTCTGGTGCTCACCAGATTCATGTTCGAAACCATATCTTTTCCAACGAAGATTCCTTTCTTCCATGCTTCACCTTTCTCTTTTGTCTTCGGTAGTGGTTTCGCCACAACCACACTACCCCATGGTACCAACGTTCCTTTGTACTCACGGTCAAATACCAACTCGAACGGGGTTTTCCCCTGTTGTACAACAAACCTGTTCAGTAGGAATGCTGCATGTCTCGGTGCCCATGGATACAGTGTACTTTCGCTCGTGATCTTTACCTTCGCTTCTTTCTCCACTCCATACACCAACGTCTTAGATAGGTTCCTCACTGTTTGTACCCATCTTTCAACTTGCGCTCCTTGGTGCGTGTCTGGTGCAACATCTTGGATCTCTGTCTCAAGCTTCTGCATTTTCCTTATCGTCTGCACCTTCTTTCTCAAAGCAATCATCGCTGGTTCGGTGTCTGTCCTCAGGATTACTTTCGGCTGCATTAGCATCAACACTCTGCAAACTTCTTCCACCAGATAGTTTGTCACCTCCTTACTCTGCACTGGAATTGCGTGGACAAACTTTGTCTCTTGGTCCACCATGACCAAACTTATGCACAATGCATCTTTCACATCCTTTGCATCTTCTTCGTTCCTCGTTCCGGTGAACTTGAAATCCATGCTTACCAACGACGCTTCATACTTCTTCTCTGTTATCTTGAAATCATCTTCTCTACTTCTTGTTGCCGAACAACTTTCACACCAGTCTGCCTTCGGTAAGTGTGTCAGCTCGTGTCTCTTTCTTTCTTCATCGCTCGGCGCTTCCGGTCGTTTCTCTCCATCTGGCTCTCTTGAGAACTCAACCTCTAGTCCTTTCGAGATTTCGACTAGTTCCTTCATCTTGTTTGACGCTACAGCTTCTTTCAGTCTCTGCCAAATTTGAGCTTTACTTCCTGTCTTTCCTATCTTGAGGAACTCGCAAGCATTTCTCAACTGCTTTATCGTACTTGCTGGTGTAAGCTCGATTCCTCCGATCTTCATTTTCTCTTCCATTGCTTCTCCAAGTTTCGGAAGTTGTTCTTCAACCTTCTTTCGCTCACTCTCATCGTTCTCTTCTTGCATATGCGGTCCTGGTGCGAACCCAGAACTTGGCGCTTGTTCCAATTCTTCGATTCCTTTTTCAATCTCTCGCTGCAACTCCTTTTCTGATCTTCCTTTCCATAAGTCGTCCTGCTCTTGTGGTTCCATTTCCACATCACGCTTTTCTTCTGGTTCCTTTCTCTTGTACGGACTACTGTACTCTCCGTAATCTTCAACACTTCTCGGAAATCTTTCCATGATCGTGATGACCACTGCTTTCTCGATCTCTGGTACTATGACCGTTGTGCCTTTGTCTCTCCACTCCTCGGCACACTCATGAAATTCCATTTCTTCCCAGACTATTTGTTCTTCTTCGTATCGCGTTCTCAGTGTGGTTCTGAAATTGAACACCCTTCCTTCGTCTCGTCCAAGGCTGTACGTCGTGTTCACGTCCCAGTCGATTCTCACTGGCCGTCCGTCAGTGAGATAAAACCAACCTTCTTCGTACTTGCCATTCTCTATGTCATCTTTCAGTTCCTTTGTCAGAGTAAGTTTCCTGATTGAGATTGGAACATCGTCTCGTCCATTTTCCATTACCGCTCGGTAGATCCTAAGGTCCGTCACCGTTGAGTTCCTTGAAAACCTTATCGGGACATATGATACCGACGTTCCATTCCTCCTCTTCACTAGCTTTTGTCAGGAAAGCGCTGTATGCATCCTGGGGCTCGATGCCCCATCCGACTTTGTACAGCTTCCCCACTGCGAACAGCGGTTGGGTCACTTGACCAAACACGGCGGTGTCCTTGACCTTAATCACCTTTCCATCGGATCTTTGGAATTCGAACGTTATGTTGGTCCTCGCTTCAGTCGTTCTGATTGCGTTCCCTTGTGCATCCGTGATGACCATCTTCAGTGCTGGAAGTTCCACTTCTCCGAGGTCTTCGCTGTAGTAGCTTAACGGCAAGACATGGCAGTCTGCTCCACTGTCTAGGACAACTTCGATCAAGTCCTCATACCCTGGTAACCGAACCGTTCGTACTCGATCCTTACTTGCTTCTTGGACACTTGGACTTGGACTTGGATTCTCAATCGATTCCTGTCTGACTTCTGGTCGATCTTCTTCTTGGGCACTTGGACTTGGACTTGGATTCTCAACCGATTCCTGTTTGACTTCTGGTCGATCTTCTTCATACCACATTTGGTACTCGTCCAACTCGTTCAGCTCTTCATCTCCCTGGCTTATGTCGAACACTTGAACTTCTTTCACCTTCACCATTCTTGCGTGGGGCTTGTTCCCCCATTCTCGAAGCATCTCGATCAGGTCTACGACCTCCTCATCGTCTTCTTCCTCAACTTCTTCGATTCTTGTCATCGACCTTTCATTGACTCTTCTCACTTGTTCACTCCCTTTTGCAGCTTGTGCAACTCGCACTTGCGATTGCTCTTGACTTCGGTACTGGCTTGGCTGTGAACTGGTACTTGACTGTGATGGTGCATTCCACACACCACTTGACCATTCTTGATCTTGGTTCCAATCTTCTTCGCCTTCACGTACTTGTCGCATCTTTCCTTTTGACTTTCCTCCTTTTCCGGAGTCCTTTCCTCCTTTTCCTGACGTCCAACATTCTGATGCGAAATGACCATACTTTCCGCATTTGTAGCATTCTACACCAGATCTTGATCCTTTTCCACCTGAACCTTTTCCTTGACTTCCGTAGCCACCACTCTCCACTTGCCTCACAAACCTTCCTCGTCCTTTGCCACGGCCTTTGCCGCGACCTCTTCCTCTTCCGCCTTTTCTATCTTTTCCTTTTCCTTTTCCTTTTCCTTTCTCAAACTTCCCTTTTCCTTTGTAGCTTCCTTTGTATCCTCCTTTTCCTTTGTCATGTTTTCCTTTTCCTTTCAGACGGTCGATCTCCATTGGGATCGGTCCTTGGTACTCCTTGGAGCTTGAACTTGTTCCTGGGGCCTGAACGCTCAACGATCCCAGGATGTTCTCAGCAGACCACGTTTGGTTGCTTCGTTCGTACTGTAGCAGTTTCGTTCTCAAATCGTTGGATTCCTACCATGATGTGCTGCTTCAGATTCTGCGGGATGCCCTTCAGCAACGTTCCGATCTTCAGATTGTCATCGTACTTCGTTGTCGATAACTTCTCGTACTCATTGACCAGCTTCTCGAACGTAAGGACATAATCCATCAGGCTAGCTCCCTTTGCCATTGCAGGGAATCCTACCAAGGCTTGGGCCATTGCCAGACTTCTAGATCTTGAGGATGGCTCGAGCTCCATTGTGAGTCGCCTCCAGACTTCGAATCCATCCATGTTATCGATACTTCTTAGCACCTTCAACGGGCGATTCTTCAAGTAGCTGCTCAAGACGGAATACAGCTTCATTCCTCGTATCTTTCGTCCTTCGCTTGCTGCGTAAAATCCATCGATGTCGTCCTCGATGTCCAACACATCCGTTGATGCTTCAGCTTTCTTCAGGTCTGCCAAGAACTCATAGTCCATGAATGCTAGAAAGTTCTTAAAGGCGAAACTCCAGTCACTCCATTGAGAGACTTCTTCTTCCAATGTTGCCGGGTTGAACACTTCTGGCGGCTTCAAGATCTTTCCTCCGGTGTCGAACGGGACACCTGAGGGTTGCGCCCTTGGCGCTCCTTCACCTCCCACACTTCTCGGGGAGTTCCTCGCAGCTTGGGCAGCACCTTGGCTAGCTGCCTCAGTAAGCCTTTGCATTGCTTCTGTCAGCTGTTGTTGCTGAGTCGCTGTTTGGCTCGCAACTCTTCCTAGAGCTTCGGTGGCCTGGCCAATGCCAGCCAACATTGCTTCAAAGTTTCTTTGTTGTTCCGCCATTGTTCTGACGATCTAGGCAAGTCGTCCAGACTCAAGGCTCCTTCTTCTTCACCTTCTTTTTCTCTACTGATCCAACAGGGCGTAGTTAATGAACCTTAACTCCTGTTTCCTTCAGCTTCAGCAAGGCGTAGTTAATGAACCTTAACTCTTGCTGTCTTCTTGACTTCTTTCCGAATTTCCTCCGGTGATAACGCCCACCGGAAAACGAACTTCTACCTTCGCAGGGCGTAGTTGAGAAACCTTAACTCCTGCTTTCCTTTTCTTTCTTCCAGCTCGCTAGCTGGCTGCCAGCCCTCTGGCTGGGCTTACCTTCTTTCCCTGGATCTGCTTCTTCAGCTGCTGGCCGTTGCCAACAGCTCCGCTACCATAAAAGTTTAAAGGCTACTCTTAACCTTTCCTAGAACACAAGTTCTCCTCGCACTTTTCTCTACTCGCGGCGCTCCACGAGGGGCGGTGCTTGAGCCTATATACAGTCGGGCATGAAAAGTGAAATGTTTGTTAACTGTCCTAGGTTGAAGCCAAAACAAAGAGGATCTCCGTGCTCGTCGTTCGGCACTCCGCCTCGCAAGGCGGCCGGCATGGGGGTCTCCCCCTTGCCTCCTTGCAAGACAAGGGACTTATTCGGAAAGCCTCCCTTGCCACTGTCAAATTTGCCCTTTGTGGGGAGGCGGGCTCCCTTGAAACCTGATTTGCCTCCCTGGCCCTTGTCTCCTTTGTCGGTCCTCTGATATTTCCATTGTCCATACCCTTTTCCATCGCCCCAGCGCTTGGGGCCCTTGCCCGCGCCTTTGCCGCCTCTATCTGTGAACCCTTCCGCACGAGGTGTCGGCATGAAGTGAAAATTGACTGCAACCGTGTTGGTGGCTTCCAAAAAGACTTGATCTAAGCACCGGGCGTCCGCGAGCGGCGCGTTCGCCGCTGCCCTTGTCAGGGTCGGCTGTTTGCTGCCAAGCTCCATCCACAAGGCCCGATCTGCTCGCAGGACCTGCTGCAGCGTCGGACGGTTGAAGCCTGGGGGCGGTGGGGTCTGCAAGGTAGCACAGGCCTTCTGAAGCCATTTCTCGTGCACCTTGAAACTCAAAATGCCGACGAGGTCGTAGGCCAGACCCCTTCTTTGCTGCTCGGGTGCAGGTATTTCAGCGACCCTTGCTCACCTGTGTCGACACAGCATCATAGACTGAAAAGGCGGGCTCCAAGTCATGCTCAATCGAGAGTCCGCCCAGCCTTTGAGCCTGCAATTCCAGGCGCTGGGCTCTCTCAGCTCCTGGCAGCTTACGTAGAACTGAGTCCGGCTGCTGTTCCACGGTGGCCTTCAAGTTTGCCAAACTCATGGTCTGGCACTCGAACAGGAGCCTCTTGACGACCGTCATCTGTGCAAGAGTGGGGTTGTTCTGCCCCAGACTCGTACATAGAGTGGAGACCTCCCTATCTGTGAGAGGTTGACCCGGTTGAGTGGCGGCATAGGCTGCCATGGACACCGTCTTGACCCCTCCAGCTATGAATTTGTCCAGGAGTTGCTGCTCCATCCCGATCTTGCGAGCATGTTGCTCGAAGAAAGGCTGACTATCCGCTGCGTTTGCCATGTTTAGGGCGTGGGGCCAAAACTGCAAATTGCAAAAGAGAGAGCTGGTACAAAGGGATTGTGTTGCACACGCACACAAACCGGCCAACAACAATGTCACCCCTCTCTTTACTCCTGAAAACATAGGCTGCACTGTAGCCACTTCGCTGAGGGCTTCTCCATTTCTACAAAATTAACGCTGATCCACTTGCCACATTTCAGCGTCGTCTGACCTACTTTGTACAGATGTAACATGGTAGACTTCTTGTTCTGGATCGCACTCCAACCCTCCGGCAGGCTCAGGGCCGCAGCTGGTTCCTCCTTTTCTTCCGATGAAGCTCCATCAGAGGTTTCCTCGGAGGACCCTTCTGCTGATGTGGTGGGCGAGATCTCTGCCTCCCCGTTGTCATCTGCGTCTTGTGTGTCATCCTTATCGAACAACGTTTCGCAAAGCCCAGAGGTCACGGTAGCCAGCTTGTCTAATTCCTCACTTTCTTTCGAGGAGGATTCTTCTCCTTCTGCTACCGACGGTGCGGATGCTTCCAAGACGGGCATGGCACTTGGTGACTCAAAAACCTTCTCAAAAACCTTCCCTTGCGGGGGGCAAAGCGGTCCAACCCCCAGGAAATCGTCCTGAAAGCCTTCCGCTGGAGCTGGCAAAGGCTCATGCGTGCTTTCGGAGTTCGCAGGCAGCCCATCTAAGCTGCCTACCTTGCTGATCGGCAACCAGGACCCAAGGTCAACAGATGCACCTGCCTCTGATCCTTGGGCTCGGGCAAGAAGTATCCACTTCGAGTAGCGTCCGGGCAAAACGATCCCTCCCGTACCTGCTTCAGCATTTCCTCCAGCTGCCGGAGGGGGCCACTAAGGGCGTCTCTTGAGTAAGCTAATGTACTCAAAGCTCCAGTCGAATGATGTGACAAGAGTGTCTGTGTTTCGCCCACAATGCCGTATTTGCTCAACCAGCCAAGAGCAGTGTGTTTCAAGGAATGTGTGGTAACCCTCGCTGTTGAGGGGTCGCGGTTCCTTAGCAGTCCCGTCAGCCAGTTGGAGGCCTCGGCGGAGTCGATGGACCTCTGCAGCCAGGCACCATCTGGGGCGGTGGCCGGCAGTAAAGGGCCTACAGGGGTCTTCGAGAGCAGATCCCTGCTTCAGCAGCCACCTTCTGCCATTCTTTGGCCCACACCACCTTCGGGTGGACCCCCCGAACTGGAGCCACGAGGGGCATGAACAACGAGAGTTTCTTCTTCTTGTTGGACTGTTTCACCTCTCTGGCCCTGCCTTCCAGAAAACCACAAATCTCGGGTCCAATCTCCAGAAAATCGAACTCCAAGGATCGCACGTGCCTGATGTCCGACCAACGGTTCCTGCTGAAGATCTGAAACAGGAACACTCCTGCTGCAAATCGATCAACAACGTGGAGCTCAGCGTTCCCAACACACTCTTCCAGAAATCTAACTTCAAGCACTGTTAGGTATTAGGTCCCGGGCTTGATGTGTGGGCTCGTGCTCGCCTGCCACTCGGTCTGCCAAGCCTCGGACCCTGGGAGATGGAATTCTCCACATCTGGAATGGAAAGCACAAATTTCACAAACTTCAACGCTTGTACCACGCTCTGAGGTGCCAGCTTGCCCTTTTTCCTGTGGGATATCTCTCTGCAGAACTTGTAAACCGCTTCCTCTGATGGGAGAAGGGGTTCCTCCACAGAGGTCCCTTGCACCTCTGCCTGTTTTTGAAGCCAACGAAACAGCCTCAACAAGGTCGATGCACGCTTCTGGATTGTGTGTGGTGATTTCGATCCAAACATGTCACGAAGGGACAACATCTTCTCCTCTTCGTCCATTGTAATGTTTTGGCAAAACTGGTGGACGGGGAGGCCTCGAACAGCTGTTTCCACATCTGCATGTTCTTCAACCACATGCCTGCAACAGCCTCCTCAAAAGGTTCATCTTCTTTTTGCACTTGATCACTTTGCTGAAAACGTTGGCTCCCGGTGAGGAGCTGAAGACACCTGCGATTGGCGTCTTGTCTTTGTCTTGCAAAACGCTGGGACCTGGTGTAGACGATAGTTCGGCTTCATCCACATTGACAAGAACCTTGGGCTCTGGCCAGTCCAGTGACACCACTGGTCCAGGTGCGAAGATATCCCTGAAAATTCCTTGTTCCCAGGGAAGTTGCACATTCGGTGGTCCTGCGGAAATCAAGACCTGAGCAACACGATGCTGGTTAACTTCTTGGCCTTCCGACTCGCTGTCAGAAGGCACCCCCGGTGCTCGTAGGTGGCCAGCCATCTGGGGCTTGAACCAAAAATGACCCAAAGCTTCCCGATACCCGCATCAAAAGAAACATGTGAAGAAAACAAAATCCCTGTTGCGAACATGATGACAAAGCAAAAGTTCACTCACCCTGTCGGTACGGAACACTCTTTTATCGCTCCCGACGAGCTCATATCAAGGCTCAATGTTTCAGCTCTTGGCTCAGATTGGCCAGGCTACGGATACGGCCCTCAAAACTGCACAGGTGGGACTCAAAAGCAGGTGGTCCCCTGACCGCGCGCTGCCTGCATCTCGGCAGGCAGCATTCAGTGCCGGCATGCCCCCCTCCACCTGGGGCGTGTTCTCCTGCAGGAGCCCTTCCATCGAGAAGATGACGTCCCTTCCTTTGGCTCTTGCAGCCACCTTGGAGATTGAGGCTTTGATGCCTTCAAAGCCGGAGTCGTTGCAGACCCCTCGGCCGCTGAACCCGTACGACGGGAAGTCGCCGTCCGTGAAGTCTCCCGGGGTTATCTCCCCACACTCGCCTACACCCATGGCTGCCGTCCACGGCAAACCGTGGGACATTGTCATCGTGTAGCGATGGTTTGCGGGCTCCCGGAATTTTTTTTTTTGGACTGACGCCTCTTTACTACATCAGTAGCGCAGTAGGCCGGTCTTGTTGGGCTCGACATAACAGGTGAAACGAAGTCAGCGCGCTGAAACCACCAAACACACCACGCAACCACCCAAGAACCAAAGAAACAGAAGAAACAAAGCAAGCAAAGGCGCAGAACTACTAGGTAACCCCACGCACTCAGTACTCGAAGTCGTCATTGAAGTCCCGGTGCAATCATATAGCACAGAGCATGCGGGGAATCGCAAAATGCGACACTGCCAGATTCTCAAAACCACCATCATGTAGCAACTGGTGCGACATCATTCGAATCGAACCGAGGTCATCACTCGATAGTCAGGATCCCGTACCCGTCGTCAAGGACAGATAACGGACCCACAGTGGCAAACGGGATGTTGCAGGTCAGACTCCCCAAGGGAGAGGAAAGACGTGCGTATGCCCCATGGTGGTCAGCCAGTGGGGACTTAACAGCAAGAACTATCAAAGCAAGACCGGCCAGGGCACTCCATGGTGGTCAGCCAGTGGAGCAGCCCCGAGCAAAAGGTCCTCCGCTCACCCTGGCTTGCAGCTGCGCTCACCTGGAAAGATGTCCGCGCACAAGCAAAGTCTCATCAGACGGCCAGAGGGGAGGCCAAGCCTTGACAGCGTGAGTAGCTATAGCTACCGATTCCACCGTGAGCGTCATCAGCACGTTGCCAAACCCTTAAAAGCACAGAGTTTAAAGTGGCGACCGAAGACCCCCTGTCAAGACATCGCACACAAGGCCACACAGCTTTTGCGTTGGCCTGCGCATCAGTTTGCATCAGGTCCCTCCAAACCCTGACCCACGAGATACGTCGGTAAGGAGATGGGAGGGCTCACATCACATTTGCGTGCCAAAGCGCAAGGATCTCCATAGTGAGACTGCGTTGATCCAATCAGAGCCATCAGGTTACAGCCAAGCAAGCGGCGAAACAGCTGTGCCGCCGCAAGCCAAGCACAGACAAGGAGGACCCTCTTGAAGGCCAGGTTAGTGTACAGGTGCTCAATGGCTCCCTGCCATGGCAGTGGGTATATTCTCCACATAAAAGCGCCCACAGTCTGGAAGAGAGCACCGCAGTATTGGTCTTTCCAGAGTCGGCACTCAGCCGAGATATTACAGAAGGGCGGGTCACATTGCCGTGACATCACGTGAAACACGTGTCGTCTCGTCCAGCGATGAGCAGCGGGGCAACCAGGGTTGGCGGCTGTTGGGTCTCAAGGCCGAAGAGTGTACGCAAGGCCATAGCAATGAAATGGAGCAACCGACCCGGCTGACGGGGGCAGAGGAGAGGAAGACTGGGCAGTCTTACCTTGGACATAACACGACGAACAATCAAGGCAAGACCAGCCCAGACTAGTCCATGGAGGTCAGCCAGTGGAGCAGCCCCGAGCGAGAGGCTCTCCGCTCCATGAGGCTCACCGCAGTGCCCATTTAGATGGATGTCCCCGTCCCGACAAGTTGCATCAACCAGCCAGAAGGGAGGTCAATGCGCATCAGTAGCGACCGATTCCACTGGGGGAAACACCAGTCCTTGTACATAGCAGAGCAGTGGACCTCAGGGTTTGCCTATGTGGCACGAATACTTCCCTCCGCAAGGCAAGAGGAGACGGCCGGGTCAACAACAAGGGCCGAGGGCTCAAGCGCCTAGAAGTTGTACACCTCACCACATTCGCCGAGGCAGGTTGGGGTGCCATGGAAACTTCCTATTACAAGCGTCCGTGCGCCCCATGGTGGTCAGCTACTGGGGACTTACAAGTGAGCACTGCAGACCAGCCCAGGGCTCCCCATGGTGGGCAGCCAGTGGGGCAGCCGCGAGCCGCAGCCAAGAGCAGCAGGCTCCTTGGAGGCTCCCAGGACGGAAGCCATTGAGTAGCGGCAGCTACCGATTCAGATCATACAGTCCAGTGGTCCCACCCATGCAATCAGGTGGGTGTGAGGGGTTATTGCCAAGGGCCTTCCCAGTTAGGGCGTCGTGGGCGGTAGCCTGCAGAGACAGTATGGGCCCGTCTTCTCCTCGTCACTGTCGAATCCTCGTCACTGGCGGCATCACGAGGCCTGACGCATAACTGTGGCAACTCCTCCTCGCTAACCCCCCACTCAGGGATGCCAGTT